TTTTATTTAGAAAATATATAGCTAAAATCAATATTTAAAATTTTATTAGAAAAATTTAAAATTTAAAAAAAGTTGTAAGCAAATTTGGCTACAAAACAATTTAAGGGATATGTGCTAGCAATTCAGTTTACAGAATAAAAGATTTTATTAGAAAATAAAATAAATATAAAATAGAACAAGAGTCTATTTATTGGCTGGAGCTAAGGAAAGCGAGGTGAAAGCCTTTCAAGTGCTACTCTACTGAATTTTCAAAATTTTCTGGCTTCTGCTTTATCTAGACCCAAATTTTAGGTTTAATAACCATAATTGAGCCTACGTTTGGATACCCGATTCTTGATAGCATATAAACTAATCTTTAATAAAAAAAATATGTTGTTAGTTAGTTAGTAAGAATTACTCTGTAATGAATTTATAAAATTTTAAATATTATTTTTTACAAGTACAGTAATAACAATAAGATTTAAATTCTATTCCCAATTTAATTCTAAAGTATAAGACCTAATATTTAGAGCTCCAGCCCACAAAATGACGCCATTTTTCTAGTTATTAATAAACCCAAGTCAAACATACAATCGACACTCTATAGACTAAAATATGTATTTGATTATGTTAATCAACAATTTTTTTTTTATATCACACATATACTAACAATATTTTAACATTACAGAATGAATGCCTTTTAGATATATTCAGTAACTTCTAGACTAATGATGTTATCCCGCTTAAATTGTTCAAAACACTACACATATGTAAACTAGGTTTCAGACTCTGCTTAAAAATTGCAGATAACAAAGCTTTTTGCTCGTAAGTAGTGTTGCTTGCTGCAAAGGTGTAACTTAATTTTTACAGCTTATTTATGTTGTAATTATCAAGATAAGCATAAATACTATATTACCGATGTCATATTCTATTGCTACAATAGGTTGCAATCCTAGTCATGCTATAAAAAAGTCGCACTTCATGTTTGCAGCAAGCAACACTACTCGTAAGATCAGTTTTGAAATCAATTTGAGCATTAAATTCACGTGATTAAAAAAACTTGGTTTGGGTTTTGAACAAGGGTGAACAGAGTTCAGATAAGCAGAATAACATCTCTATTCTAGACTTGTTTGAAAGCTTATTTTTATTTCTTCTCGTGAACTAGCAATGGTGTAAAATTATTATACTAGTGTTATGGATTAGACCAACTTTACATGATAAAAGTTACCTTTTATATTAAATGCTAAAGAACAAACTTTATTAATCCCTTTTAATATAAACCCTTTAAAAATTCTAACATCGTTATTTGAATTCACAAGTTGTATAAGTTACATTAGCTTTTTTTTAGAAGTTGAAATTAATTGTTGGCTTAGAAAGGCTATTAGAACTATATAAATACTATTAAATATTCTTTAATTTTATTGTTTCTATAAACAAATAGAAAATTTAAATTTTTAGCACTTGTCAAATTATTTATAATCAAATAACTTTATAGACAATATTTATAAAAATTCTATTACCTATTTATGTTGTTGACATAATAATCTTGGTAATGAGGATAGAAAAGTAATAGCTGAAATCTTTAGTATAAATTCTTCACTGACTTCTTTAGATCTTAAAAATAATAAAATTGGTTCTGAAGGCAAAAAATATTAAAATTCATCATCTCAGATTAGAAGGTTGAAAAGCATCTCTTTGCATAAATATTGTTTTAATATTAGATACAATGAACTTAGTTTTGAGATTTGTGAAGGCTCTGCATGAATACTACTAATTTCTTTTGGATCTTAGCCATAATTATCTCTGCTCTGAAAGTGAGAAAGCATTGGCAAAAGCTCTTAATAAAATCAATACTTTAACTCTGTCAAATTTGAATTTAATCTACTTGATTCCAAGAGCAAAAAAGTACTTGTAGGGCCCTTTGTATAGATACTACTTTAACTTCTTTAGACATTGGATTTAGTAACCCGATTCTGTAGACGAAAAAGTGCGAAAGCTCTTTGTATAAACACCAATTCTAATTTTTTTTTAAACCTTATTGAAAGTGAAGCCTTACATACATGGCTCTATATTAAAATGAATATTTAAATTTTATATAACCATTTTTATACTTATACAATATTGGTCAGTTCTGGGTGTCTTTTAACCTTAGTATATTACAAAACAATTAATTTATTTGTACAGCCTTAGTTATTTTTGTTCTACTGAACAGTTTACAAGTACACTTGTCAAAATGAATAGACTTTTTTGGCAGATCCCATGTAAAGATTATCACTACATAATTCAATTCCTTTGTTTTAAATCTCTTGTCTATTTTGCATAAAATGTATAGTGATTTTTTTTAAGCGATTATATGTTTGCACCAAGGTAAATTTGTATATAATTTCTGGGTAGTGTAAATGATAACTCCATGTAAAGGTCGGTCCTGCTTAACCGACTCAATTTTTTTCAATTAAAAATTTATTAAATTGTTTATTAATCAAAAAATTAGCAACATATTGCATGCATAGTATTATTCATTACTTTGCCAATGTCTGCTAAAGGTTGAATTTAATGATCATTATAAATTACTCGTATAAAATAGTTAAAATGATCATAAATTTATGCAAAAATTATGCAAAGTTGTTTATTTTAATTATAATTTCCCATTAGTAAAAGAATTATTGTTAATATGTAAAATCTAAGTCTTCCTAAAATTAGTTATAGAATTTAAGAATTCTCTATACTTTATTTGTATTATGCATTCCAAGCTAACAGAATATTTCCTTATTAGTAAAATAATAATTGTTAATACATATATACATACAATCTAAGCCCTCCCAAAATTAGTTGTATAATCTAAAAATTCTTTACACTTTATTTGGATTACACATTCTAAGCAAATAGAATCAATACAAAAAACATGATTGTATGATTAAGATTATTTTTGAAAGAGCTACAATTTATAGCATAATGAATCATCTGGTTATAAAAAAAAAAAAATTAGATGTTATAATAAAGATATAAGAGTTAGATAAATGTAAAATGTATTTAAATTGTACTTTTTTACCTTGAGTAAATCATTAGAGCTTCTAAAGTTCGATTTTTAAAAACAAAACATAAATTTATATTAAATAAAACCTTAAATAATAATCTTAATACTTATCTAAATGTCACATGCAAATAAGTATGCCGCTACTTGTAGAATATAGAAACTTCTTCTTTAAATCAAGAGAGGAGAAACTTGCGCTTTACAGTAAACAAGAGCCAACAACACTAAAACAAGATAAATTTGTAGCAGAGTACCTTGGAGCAAACAATGTCTGCCTTATTGCAATTATTCACATAGTTATTGAAAGATATAAATGGGTAGAGAGTAAAGATTTTAAGCATGAGTATATTTCAGATAAGGAGAAAACCCTGCTAGGAAATATGGTTACTGCAAATAATACTCAAGAAGAATCTGTCAGAAATAGCTTTATTCCGATAGACATCATTCCTATTAAGCCAATCATCCTATTAAGCAATTATGGAAAAAATATACCAACTGATGGCAAGAGCTCTGCCCGTAAAAGATATCTCACTGAACAGGAAGAAACAATCACTTCAACTAACAATGAGCTTGAAAGCAGTCAAAACATACT